TTTCAGATGGTTACTTTTAATTGACCACGAATTCGTCAAGTACGTTCGCTCACAGGAACCCTTTGCGCTAAGGCTATTGTTCGTCTATCTGTGTATATGCGTGCATTACAAGTTTTGGCTCTTTGAGTACAGCATATGGCGGGACTATGCTGTGTATTACAGAACACGGTTTGGCCCTCTCCGTGAGTTTGACGAGAGACTCTATCATTATGTCGTTACAAGGAAAAAGTATGTCCTTGGCGATAATTACAGAAGCATCAAGGATCTTGACGTTTGGGGCGACCAGTTTGACTACTGAGCGGGGAGTTCTTTCAGCACGAACAAAATAGCATTTACCCAGGCCTTTCAGAATTATTTATTGCAGTATACGAAGATTACGGACCTAGTGGGAGCACTCCACGTAGTGCGGTGATACCACAAGACGTAGAGGTCAATACCAAAGCTCTCTCGGCTACAAGAAAAAAACAATCACCATTCTATCAATTTTTCATTGATTATATTTTTTCATAAACCATATAGCTAGAGTCGCTCTTTGTGTGGAACCCAGCGGCAAGTCGCACTGCCTTCCGCATTGGGCAGTCTACCGCCTTCGAAAACTAGATCATACCGGCCTTACAAACTCACTTATCACTGTCTTTTCCAAACCATCCACAACATGTTTCTTGCTCGTGCGGCATGGCCTATACTAAAAAGGCCTGTGTTGCAGACGGCTGTAAAATCAATATCAGTCCTGAGCAGCAGACAACTAAGTTTCTTTGGTTTGCCTTTTTCTCCAGATAGCATGCTCACCAAGTTAAGAGAGGAGCAGGAGAAACCCAGAATCAAGGAGCTCGATGACTTGGCTGCCAAATGGCTAGACCAGCTAGATGCTGAGCATAAGAAGGACCCTTCCAAGAAGGACATTGTGCTTCTTCCTGAGGCTCTGTCTGAGTCTATGTCTGAGAGATACAGAATGCTTTTCCACACGGCATTTGCCTTATCGGCCTCTCTTGCCATCCAGCTTCGTGAGGGCAAGCTGATTATGCATGGATATGAAAACAGAATAAAAGCGTTGGATTTGCCCTTCCAGCTGCCCAGATTCACCAAAGAGGAGATCGAGTCTGCACTTACGTTCTACTTCAGACTCGCTAACAAGAGAGTTTTTATGGAGGAGTTAACTTTCACGGACGAAGAGATTTCCAAGATTTTCAAGAGCTTCCTAGAGCTCGATCTTTCCACGAACGACCCCGCCGTTATTGAGGATGCTATGAAAAAATGGAATGTGCCCGCCAACTCTGCATTGAACTGGTTCCAGACCTTTTCTTTCTGGGCTTCTATTCCCTGTGATGACAAACCATTTTTGTTCCCTCTCGTCAGTCCTATTATGAACTACGACCCACCGGCTTCGGAGTCTAGCTGGCTCAAGAAAGACGCCCAGAGCGAGTCGTCTGAATCTTGGGATACTCAACCTGAAAACAAGAAGAGCAAGGACAAGGACTCGGTTATGGATGACAAGATGAAGCAGACGCTTGGACAAGTGAGCTACCTGCTTTCATTGATTCTTATGGTTGGTATTTTTGCCTACTTCTACCTTTCCGATGGCGCCAACGAAGGCGAAATCTCCTTCCAGGAGTTCTGCGGTGAGTTCTTGAGAAAGAACTTTGTTTCTAAGATCCACGTTATCAACAACAAGACTGCGGTTGTTGAACTCAATGAAAATGGTAAGCAGCTCCGTGGAGGCCATGGTGGCGATTTCTACTTCAACATTGGCTCTGTCGAGTCTTTTGAGCGCCAGTTGAAGTCTGTCCAGGATGAATACAAGATTCCTGACTCATTGAGAGTGCCCGTGGTCTACTCCACCGAGGGTAGCATCGCTAAGATCTTGGTCAACTTCCTCCCCACGCTTTTATTCCTTGGTGCCATCTATTACATGACAAAGAAGGCCAACCTCGGTGCTGGTGGTCCTTTGAGCTTCGGCAAGTCCCAGGCCAAGAAATTCAACCAGGAGAAGGATATCAAAATCAGATTCAAGGATGTCGCTGGTATGAGCGAGGCCAAACAAGAAGTCATGGAGTTTGTCAAGTTCTTGCAAAACCCCACCAAGTATGAGAAATTGGGTGCCAAGATTCCCAGAGGTGCTATTCTTTCCGGTCCTCCAGGTACCGGTAAGACTTTGATTGCTCGTGCTACCGCTGGTGAGGCTGGTGTTCCATTCTACTCTGTGTCTGGTTCTGAATTCGTTGAAATGTTCGTTGGTGTCGGTGCCTCCCGTGTGCGTGACTTGTTCAAGACCGCTCGTGAGAATGCTCCTTCCATTGTTTTCGTCGATGAAATCGATGCTATTGGTAAGAACAGATCCAAGGGTAACGCCAGTGGCGCCAATGACGAGCGTGAAAGTACTTTGAACCAGTTGTTGGTGGAAATGGACGGTTTCGACAGCTCCAGTCATGTGGTTGTTCTTGCCGGTACCAACAGACCTGACATTTTGGATAAGGCTTTGATGAGACCAGGAAGATTCGACAGACACATCACTATTGACAACCCTGAATTGCAAGGCAGAATCGAGATTTTCGATGTGCATTTGCAAAAAATCAAGGTTGTTGAGAACATCGACAAGCATCTCTCTGGCCGTCTCGCTGCTTTGACTCCTGGTTTTTCTGGTGCTGACATTGCTAACGTCTGTAACGAGGCAGCTTTGATTGCCGCCAGATACAACGCTAAGGCTGTCACTTTGAGACACTTTGAATTGGCTATTGAGAGAGTTATTGGAGGTGTTGAGAAGAAGAGCAAGCTCTTGGATCCTCATGAAAAGCGCATTGTGGCATACCACGAAGCCGGACACGCTGTGTGTGGCTGGTTCTTGAAATATGCCCACCCCTTGCTCAAGGTCTCTATTATTCCTAGAGGCCAAGGAGCATTGGGTTACGCACAATACTTGCCTCCTGACCAGCATCTCATGTCTACCCTTCAACTTTACGACAGAATGATAATGACCTTGGGTGGAAGAGTCTCAGAAGAACTCAACTTTGCATCCGTCACCAGTGGCGCTCACGATGACTTCAAGAAGGTCACCCAGATTGCCCAGTCCATGGTGTTGAGGTTCGGTATGTCTGACAAGGTAGGTATGGTTAATTACGCTGACACCCAGAGTCAGGACAACTTGACCAAGCCCTTCAGTGACGAGACCAACGATGTCATCGATCAAGAAATCAGAAGAATCGTTCTGGACTGCTACAGCCGCTGTAAGCAGTTGTTGTCTGAAAAGAGTGATGCTGTCGAACTAGTGGCACAGGAATTGCTCAAGAAAGAGTTCATCACCAGAGAGGACATGATCCGTCTCCTAGGCAAGAGACCGTTCCCTGAAAATAACGACGCCTTCGACAAATACCTTGACGGTAAGCCCGCTTACCAGAATGAGAAGCCACCAGAGGAGAAGAAGGATGACGAGAAGTAATTGCACCACTTGTATATAAATCAAATCGAATAGAAGAATGCGATAGAGTAGCCGAAAGCATTTGCAGCCAAAAGACGCATTTTTGGTCACGTGCCGAAATTTGAGAAACAAAACCTCTCAACACGGTCCATAATCCTGTCAAAATCAGCCATTCCTAATTAATATGTCTGCCCCTCCGCTGGATGACGAAAATGGTACGGCCAGATCTCCTAGACAGCTGAGAAAGGAGCGTGTCAATTTGGCCGGTTTAGACCTTATGCCTGAGGCTGATGACGAGGAATACAAGGAAGGTGATGAAAATGGAGAGTACGATGAATCTGGGGTCAAGGATGACGACGAGGATGCCGACATCAACGATGACGATGATATTGATGTTGATGATGAAGATGACGAGGTTGTCAAGCCCGGCCGCCCCAGAGGTAGAAAGAGAAAGTCTGCTAGTGACGAGTTGGACAACGAGGATGGAGAGAAGGAAGTCAAGGCTGAAGAAGAGGGTGAAAAGAAACCTGAAGAAACTCCTGCTGAAGGCGAGCCTCCAAAGAAGAAGGGCAAGAAGAGAGGTAGAAAGCCCAAGATTCCTAGACCAGATGATATCATCTACGACGACAAGGGTAACGAAATCAACGTTCAGAATGACGAGATTGTTCTTGACGAGGAAGACCCTAAGGGGTGCGAGAAAGTTGATGCGTTGGGTCGCTTGCAGGGTGACAGAAAGTACAGAGTCAAGACATTCACTCTATTAGGTAAGGGAGAGCGTCTTTATATGGTCTCCACCGAGCCAGCCCGTCTTGTCGGTTTCAGAGACTCCTACTTGTTGTTCAAAACCCACTTGTCGTTGTTCAAGAAAGTCTGCACGCATGAGGAGAAGATGGACTTGATTGACCGTCACTTGATCCCCACCTCCTACAAGGGTAGATCTGTCAACCTCGTTACAGCTCGTTCTATTTACAGAGAGTTTGGCGCTAGAATGGTTGTTGGCGGTAAGAAGGTCATTGACGATTTCTGGGAGCAGCAAGCTATCGATAGAGGCGATGTGTCTGGCGAGTATGCCGACCCTGAGGAGGCCAACACTTCTAATAGAGCCGCAAGTTACGGTGCTGAGAACTACCAAAACCAAATCACAGGTTCCGCTTTGATCAATTATCAGGCTGACCCCACATGGATGTACCAGGTGTGCAAACAAACGCTAGATTTCAACTCTACGTTGACGGAACAGAGAAACCAGGTCTGGCTAAGAGGTATCAAGGACCCATACAGTGGCTTCAACTTTTACCCTGAAGGAAGTCAGCCCAAGAGAGCTGTTTACAAGAAGTTGAGCTCGAACGGTGACTTCAAGAGCTCGCTTGCGTTCTACAACCCAGATATTCGCCGCAAGGTTACCGGCCTTGCGTCTATTCCCAAGGAGATTTTCGACGACATCGAGGACGAGGAGATCAAGAAGGCCATTCTCGAACAACAGGCATACGAAAGAGCTGCTGCAAGGTTGTAGCTAGCCTAGCTGTAAAATTATTTTATGTACCATAATCAAAGAAATCAAAGAAATCTGATCTATTTTCTGTTTCCCATATTACACAACGTCAATCATTGGCTCGCCTTCTTCGCCAGAAAGCATTTCATCGTCATCAAAGATGATACTTCCATCCGGAGCTTCACGACCTCCCTTGTTCATATGGGCTCGAAGCTCAAAATCAACCTTGGTCTTCCGACGCCCCACATGGACAGTAATATCTCCTTCATCGACAATTTCTGCATGCTTCTTGGAGTAGGCGACCTCGGCCTTGGCTTCCTTGCCTGATATGCGATGGTTCACTCTGATGTGTTTCGCCAATGTATCATGACGAGTAAATATCCTGGGCCCCATAACAGGGTCCTGTTTGACACAGACAAAGCACTTGAACAATTTCTTCTTTTTCAGGTGAACGGTGTCCTGGTGCCTTATGAGCTCGTACTTTCTGGAGAATCTTCTGAGACACATCTTTCCAGGCTCCTCAGCCGAAGGTAATTGACATTCATGAATCACATCAGGGTCGTAGTTCAGCAGACGTGCACTACCGGGCTTGATCTCCGGCTTCTTTATCACTCTATGCGCTGAAAGTTTTGAATCGGCCTTAGCCTTCTTTTTATCCTTACCCTTGCCTTCAGATGCGAGTCTATCGGAGATGAACTTATCATGCTCCTCGGTCAGATCCTTGTTGAAATATTCATCGTCGTTGCTGACAGCCTCTGCGAAGCGCTCATCACGCTCTCTCTTTTGCTGTTCTCGTAAAGCGGTGAATTTCTCAATTGTAGCGGGTGAAAGCTGGGTCTGTTTGTAGCGGAAATTGGAATAGCTCTGAACAAACCTCGTGTAGCATGCATTTAAATCAAACTTTATGAGCGTTAGAAACAGGTAGACAGCAGGATTAAGCCGTATGAGGTTGTACACTTCCCAATAGTTGAGGTTGACCAAGATGCTGGAAAGGAAGCGGATGATGTTTGCAGAAAGGCCATCTCTGGTGCTGTCCATGGCGATATTCAAGAATATATCGAAACAGCATTCCACAACTATGTATAGTTCTGACAGAGCAGGGTCCTCGGCGATGTAGCTGGACAATAAGTCCTCCAAAGCATAAAGTCTCTTTTCTAGTGCCTGGATATACGTCTCCTCAAGAACGCCCTCGTGGACCAAATATGCAATTTTACACATGAGCTCAGCGTACTCAGTAGTGCTCTGGGGCTCAATGTGGCAAAGGGCCTGGACCATCTCTGACATGCTAGCACTGCCTAGTTCTGTAAGGGCAGCTGTGTATGATGACGCTTTTGTAGATAAAGCTTCCTTGACATTTGGAATTGTGAGAGAGACGCTGGTCGACTCCCAGGGTCGTTTTGCAACTGCATGTGTTTCATTCGATGGGGAAATAGCACTTGTAGCAGTGGGTGACTGGTTTCCCTCAGGTTGTGATGAAGGAATGATCGGCTGCATTCGACGTGGTGAAGCATCGGACGTTTCCTGAGGGGACATATGATCATGAATCGAGTCCCCCTTTTCATTGATGCCTGAGTCAAGCGTAGAAGTCATTGTGTTGTGCTCTTCCGATGGAGGGTAAGTGAAGGAGGACTCGTAGCTGGCGATGTCTGAGGGACTCCGTAGCACTTCACTCATGCTGTGTGGTTATTGATGATTTTGACAGCCGGATATCACCCTCTTCGGTAAGGATTTTTTGTGAATCTCCTCCGTGCAATGGTAATTTGTCTATGACCTGATGGTGTGGAGTCACTGGATTATACCGATGAAGCAAGGTGGTTGTGTTTTGCCTTTTTGCCAAATGGGGTAGCTTCCAAGTGTAATTCAAGCCAAAAGCACTAGATTGACCTGGAAAAATATGGCAACTTCGAGTCCAAAGTTAGTGGTTCGAGTGACTGCAAAATAAGGATTTGCGGTTAACAGCAGGTAGGTTTGTGTAGTGCGCACGACCATCAACAGAGCCGGGCGCCGCCATTTTAGGAAAATATTATTACGGAATTTACGGAAAAGCTACAGAATATCTTAATGCCGTTTTTCGTTATGTATTTTGGAGATTAGTTTGGTAACTATTTGGAGAAGGCCGGGTGGTCCGACATTGGGCTTTCGCACGACGTTTTTGCAGCCATTCTCGCTATTCAAGGTGCATTTCTGACCTGTCTGGCGTTAGTTCTGCAGGAAGCGCACCCCGATTTTTTGCAACCATTTCTCAAGCGCCACTTTTTAACTATTTCTTGGACTTGTCCTCGTCTCTCAAATGAGGCAGATGTATGGATCCTGGAGGCGGAGGAGTGGGATTTGATTGGACGGCGTGCATCGGCGGCGATCCGTGTGGCTGTGCAGCTTCGGCAACGGGATACTGGTACCCAAGCGGTGGCATGGGCATGGAGCCGATAAACTGCTGCTGATACTGTGGACTATGCATATTTTGAGGAATTCCCTGGCCTGGAAGCTTTTGAGGAGGCACTCCCATGGGAACATATCCCTGGATAGGCATCTGCATAAAGAGTCTTCGGTCGCCATAGAAGGGTTGACCATAAGGCTGGAATGCGGGATAGCCTTGGTATCCGTACCGTTGTAGCTGTGGGCTATGATCCTGGTGGCCCTCCTCTCTTGTTTTGAGCTGTGGAGATACGAGTGTAGCTGGTGGTGGTAAGGCAGAAGCATAGGCAGGGAATTGAGGCAGTGGATGAGAACCCATCCTGGAGGATGTGCCGTAGTACGGCAGTCTTGAAGGATCCTTATACTGTGGAGGGTACTGCAAAGATGCCGGTATTGGCGCCTGAGAAATGAAAGAGGGTGGCTGGGCCAAACTGGAACCCTCCCTCTTTATTTCCTCCCGAGGCGACCTGATGACCAGCTGAGGATTTTGATGTGGTGGATGTGCCGGTAGCTCTGGTCTTTGAATATTCGCCAACGGAGGCTCCTGAATTTCGTGCAAACTAGAGAGTCTGGTGGCAGGCCCTGACGTGAGGACGCCTGGCAGAACCAAGTGTTGAAATATGGATGGCACGAAAACCAAGCCTTGCTGTCCCATGGGCACGGCTCTGTTCTCATCTTGCAAAATCCTCTCGGCCTCATCTGTCGTGTACCCATCATCGTCATCCTCCAATTCGCCAACGGTCTGGATGTCAAAAGCGATGTCTCTGGGTGTGACCTTTTGAAATGTGAATTCTTGTGAGTTTTCAGAAATGGCGGAATCTTGCCTCAAGAGACGCTGAGGTGATGCCTCCTGTGATACTGAGCTCTTTTTCGGTGCCCTCGTCTTCTTCTTTTTCTTTGGCTGTGCCTTGTTCAAACGAATGTCAATGTAATTATCAATGCGAAGCCGTTGGTACTTCTGATTCGTCACGTCTGGGTTCATGGTGTGGTAGGAGAAGTTGTAGAAGGGGAAGGGAAATGGATATTGGAAGCCCTGCCTTAGATTAAATCCCATGTAGTTATCTGGGGGTGACACAACGTGTCCAAACGGCGTATCCGTGACATCAATATCCACAAGCCTGAGGAAGTAGTCTAGGTTGGGTATCATCTGTAGTAGATGGTAAATCTCCCAACACTCCAAACTGTAAAATAGATTGACCACGAACTTAGTCACTTTCAGCGAGAGCGTCAAGTTTAAGTACAGCAGGCAGAACTTGACAAGGTCGGTGTAATTCGTTATGAGGATCTCCGATAGGTAGTTCTGAGGATAACACTGTGTCAAAGCCTTCAGGGGCTCCGGAACAGCCTCTGTGGCACTTTCTAGTAAACCTTCATACATCTCTTTCTCTGTATCAGCTGGCTTGCCTCGAAGAAGCACATCCAAGCTCTTTGAGATCTCCTGTGAGCATTCGTGAATACTTAAGCTTTTCGTCCACACAATGTCGGTATATTCAGCATCTTCGGTATCAGCCTGGGGTTTTCTCTGACTATCCTTGTCTATGTTACTAGGCTTACTATCTAGCTGTGGGCTGTTGCCTTCATGCATGGTTCTTGGAACACTTTCACTTAGTTTGTGTGAGAGCACTGACGTTAGTAGCGTTTTATAAAAAGTTAATTGAAAAACATACTTTCTTGCTTGACCTTTTCTGGTGAATGGCGAGGGCTCTTCATGGGTTAGTATCAGAATTAATGTGTTTCTTGAGGAGGACTTACTTCTGAAGGATGTGCTGCCGCAGCCATTATGTGGTAATTAATTAAGGCCAAGGAATAAGCAAGCAAGCTAATAAATCGCCAGGTGGTTGGTTCCCTGGAAAACTATGATGCTTAAATCAAGCTTTTTAGGCAAAATGCTGGGCTATGGTGCTGATGGAAAGGTGCAAAATTAGACGGTTTGGCTGCCAGTTGAGAATTGCAGGGTATCTAGTTGCAAATGCTAATATGTAGGAACGGTCATATGTTGGTACATACTACACCCTTAGTGACCACTGACTTTCCATGGATATTATACGAAGTTTCCTTTAATTAGAAAAATGACTATTATCAAATCATCTTTGGTTCACTTGTTGCTGAATCCTTCTGTTGCTGGTGTTTCACAATCGCACGACCGTTTTGCAGCCATTTCCTTGGAAGCCCAGCAAAAGAGCCCAAAAGAGAAACAGCCAATTCCGGCCCAATTGTAATAAAGCTAATGCCAAGTTTTGTACTACAAGTAGTTTGATTCATAGTATTTGTCGTTTCTGATTTTTTTGAGTTGCATCAAAGTTTCCATAATCGTGCTGTTAAGCTATTACTATTAAATAAATGCGAATATTATCTTGGGCCTCTACTTCTTACCATTGGCAACTTCTTCACCAAGAGACTTTAAAACCAACGGAAAAACAATTCTGGCAGCGTCTCTTCCCCACAAGTTATCCAAGTGCTCGTGGCCCGCAACGGGGTGAGAGGTGGTATATTTTTTGGGCAACTGGTTCTCCATCACTTCAATGTCCACCAACAGGTCCGAATCACCGTAGATCAAGTGGATTGGAACCTCGATGTTCTTCAATGGGTATTCAATTGGGTTGAGAGAAGAAAAGTTGGACTCGTCGTGGTACATCTGGAACTTCTTGGCGGAAATGATCTGGAACCAATGCACCACTGTCTTGACAGAAGTGGTGGAGTACAAGTGAGCGTACGAGCTGAGTTTCTGCACCTTGTCGATATTGAGCGCTTTCCAGTTGAACAAGGTGTAGTTTGCAACGTCAATGGAGGTGTCAAAGAAGGGTGGATACATAATTCTGTTCCACAACTGGACGCTTGGCATGAGCACTCTTCTGGAGAAGAGAAGGTACACGAAGACGGGGCTGGACTTAAGCAAGATATCGAGGAATCTAGAGTAAAGACCATGTGGGGTAGTGGCTGGCGAGATGGCAACAATTCTCTCAATCTTTTCGTTCAAGTCTGGGTTCACAGAAACACTAGCGAAAGCCTGAGCAGTGCCCTGAGAAAAGCCCACGTAGATCAAACTCTCCTTCTTAGTGGCAGCAAGAATATAGTTGATGGTGTCTGGGATGTCGTAAAAGGCAAACTCGTCCAAGGCAAAATCCCAGAACTTCTCCAGGTTGAGTCTATGGCTCAAGTGCTTGTGCGAGTACTTGTTACCACGGTTGTTGCCCAACCAGACGTCGTAACCAAGCTCGTAAAGCACATATGGCAAGTTGGCGTCTTTATCAAGCATGGTCACCCAGATCTCGGAGCACATGAGGAGGCCATGGTGCATGTAGACCACCTTACCGTTTCTAGGACCAGCGTTGGGCCTCAGGATTCTCTGGACTGTAAGCAAATAGTCATCTTTAGTTCTGATCATTCTCAGCTCCACCTCGTACCCAAACACCGAGCACATCTCCAGGATGTCCTTGGCGTTGAGGAGCACGGTCATTCTATCGTACTTCTCCTTATCGATATCGCCCTCTCCGCCAGACAAGTATCTGTATTTGATGTCTGGCATACCATCCTCCTTCAGGATCTCGCCGCCCGAAGAAATAAACCGAATAGGGGACGCTGTGAAGCTGTAGACCACCTGAAGGGAGTAGGTGATGATATTGATCACCGTGGAAGGAAGCAAGCGTGTAATGAGTGTTGAGATGTACTCGAGCCACGAAAGTAGCAAGGAGACGACCACGAGGGGCCACTCCAAGAGGGAAAGTCTGCCCAACAAGGGAATATGCATTTTGGGTGGTTTTTGAAGAAGAAGGTGATGTAGTAGCACGGCTGGCTGTATGACGAAAACGTGCGAACCGAGGAATGGCTGCAAAATGTTGATGGACCTGGGTGGAGTGGGCAACAGAGTGCTTTGGGATTAAAAAAAATTGGAGAAATCAAGGAGTATCAAGGTCCAGGAAATCATCCAAATGATTAATGCTGGTTTTGACGGTTTTGGTACTTTTCACGTGGGGAGACGGTAGTGTAGCCAAAAGCTTAGCATAGCTAGTTAGAGTTTAGACAGGATTGGAAACGGTTGCTTCGGGTTTCTGAGTCTTGGCAGGTTTTTGAATTTAGCAAGCAATCTATCTTTTGTGAGACCTCAGATCTAGGTCTGCGAGTCTAACGCATACCCGTCTGTGCCATGTATATCAGCAATCTGGGGTAGATGCGCGTAGCAGAGGTGGTACTACTGATTGATGTGGTGAAGAAATTGGGGAATAAGATTCAACAAGATTCAAGAATTGGAAAGTCAATTTTATTCGACATCTGGGAAGTCAATCTTGTCTAATCGGAAGCTGGGATGAGTGGAACTGACAGCCTCGTCGTAGAGGAGCCATCTCTGGTTATGCGATCAATTCACTGGCCTCAAGACTATTTAAGTTGTAGAGTCGATGAGGTTGGAAATTGACAATTTTATGGTCCAATTACTGATGCCAAAATTGAATGGTTAATAAAAATGGAGCAATATGTGGTTACTGAGAGTTCGTAAGCGAATAGGTCTTGGAATATTAAAATTATTCAGGCTGAACAAACTTCAGCACCACTAAGTTCCTCGCTTAATCATTCGTCTACAACAAAACCGAGAATGTTATTGAGCCACCGGACATAACCGTGTCGTGGAAAAAGTCGTAAAACAGACGAACAACAAAATGACACAAAACCGTAACCAACAATCACCATACGTGCACCTGAAAAGCATTGACCAATCGAGGCCACACCCCACCCCATTGGGACCTCCCAATAGACAGCCAAACTACAAGCCACTAAATACTTACTTCCCTACTTTCACGACTACTTTCCCTCTCGACTTCCACCACTACTTCCCTACCCTACTAGGTCCCTCCACCTATAAATAGCTGAAGCACGGAGATCTGGGCGATAATCGGGATATCCAGCGGGCAACCCGAGGCTTGGACCAAGCCGCCTGCCATTGGCGCAGAAACCACGGCTTAGGCACCCTCAACCAATGGCAGCCGTTTCCGCTTATTCTTCCATCGTAGCACATGCTGGCCCGCACTGGGTGCAAATAATCAGAAAGATCAGTGGAACACTGACCCACGTCGACCCACATGGCAGCCCATGTACAAGAAAAAAAATAAAAAGCAGATCCTCTCCGTTTTAGGCCCCTCGCCCGAATTGGGCCTCCCGTTGTCTTCCTGTTTGGTTCGCTTGCTCCAAAGCCTTTATGGCTATTGTACAGTGTGGAGGCGATTGGCTGGTGGAGGAGGCTTGTTTTCGCACCCACAGATCTTGTGCTTGTGCCCCGAGCAAATTATGCTACCGAACTCGCCCAAACGGTGGGAACGAGGCACCTACACCATCAACAGATGGCGAAGAGAAGAATTGGATTGGGGAGGTGTCAAAAGATGAAACTCTGTGTCCTTGGCTTTTTTTTTTTCTCCATAGGTGGTGCCCGGCACCGATTGTAGTGCACATTCTTGCCGTATGCACCAGGCCTGCCCCTCTGGGACACTCCAATAACTTCCAAAACCGATCTTGTTCCGGCCCCTGTCATTCTGCAGCCAAGAAACGTCAAGGCTGTCACGTATAAATACCCCTGGTTTGCTCTACCTTCTTCTCCATCTTCTTTATCCGTAATGTGGAAACCACTCGCTTGTGCTGCTGCTTTGCTCTCTGTTGTCGCTGCCGACCCGGCTCCTGAGTCTCACGACTCCCCTGTTGGAGCCTCCTACAGAGCCACTTTCGAAAAGGGTGTGAATGGTTACGTCAACTTTTCCTCCAAGAACGGCTCTGTCCTTGTGGATGTCGACATCTCTGGTTTGCCCGACTACGGTGGTCCTTTCATGTACCACATCCACGAGTTGCCTGTTCCTGCTGATGGTAACTGCACCGGTACCAAGGCCCACTTTAACCCATACAACGGTCACGAGAAGGCTGCTACTCCTGCCGAGTTGGAGGTTGGTGACCTTTCTGGCAGACACGGCGAGATCGAGGCCCAGTCTTTCCAGACATCCTACATTGACCCATACCTCTCGTTGAACGAGAACAACGAGGCCTTCTTTGCTGACTTGTCGGTGGTTGTCCACTTGCACAACACCACCAGAATTGCCTGTGCCAACATCACCAAGAGTTTTGACATTCCCGAGGAGAATGCCGGTGCCAGGCCCGTGGCCATGGGTGCTGCTGCCTTGGTGGCTGGTGCCGCTTTGATTTTGTAGTTAGCTATGAATTGACGAGCAGTGTGATGGAGTGTAGTTTTGCAGCCAAATGCAGCGGCGTGCGGCCCACCTACAAAAGTGGCATGAGTTTTTTCAGTGAATTGGTGGATTTTGTTCTATTCTTAATTGCCTCGAAAGCCATTGAATCATTAATTGAATCTTCACTTACTTAATGGTGAAATAACAGAATGGTGAAATACCAGTCTCCCTTGGTTGACTACTGCAGGCTCTTATCCCACGCGCATATAATACCCCATACTCATGAGTGGGTACTCTCTCCGATCTAAAAGACTAAAAAACGTCAAAACCGTCGCTAGAGACAATGTATGTTGCTCAATTATTCCACACTGTCCCCACTAACTCCAGCTCGCAAACGAAAGAACGTTTTTGGCATGGCTACGCACATCCATTGTATGTGTATCAATAGGCATTGCCTTGGCACAGCTCCTACGTTTCACTGAACAGGAGTGTCAGGTGGACATTGGCTCATACACTGTCATCATAGAATACGGGAATAGCAGCACCTTGAGCTTGGGTAAGCCGTTTGCTGTGGTCTGCATTGTGCTTGGAATCATCACCCTCATCACAGGCTTTGTGCGGTTCTACTATGCTGAAAATATGCTAACTGAAGGCTACTACCCAATGTCGAACGTCTCGGCGTTTATTGCCGTGGCCGTGGTATCTATTGTAACGATTCTATATGTGATCCTGACGGCGAAAGTCATATTCTAGAGGTGGTGACTTAAGGGAACTGGCCCTTTCTCAAACCAATGTATCCCTCGGGAGCGTCCGAGGCCTTGAGCCAGGCATGGTGCTTGTTGGATCCTTCAATGCCCATACTGCTCACATTGTTGCCCCACCAGTTGAGATCATCCTTGTCGTACTGGACGGTGAAGAAAATGAGTAAAGCACTGAATGCCACACCTGCCGAGAGCGCACTGGTCAAGATATAGTTGTACTTCTCCCACCAAAGGGTGTAGTTCCGCTTGATGCGGTACATGAAGAGGTACGACATGTAGAGCCCGCCGGTGAAGTACAGCATGTTGTATGGGGCGTAACTCAAGAAGCCTCCCAAGATAATCGTTGGCTGGAAGGATCTGGTGATTCTAGAAGGCCCGTGCTTTTTGAAGAGCGCCATAGGTACAACCATCACCGCTCCTAGCAAGAAACACCACTTCAAAATAGGGTATATGCCGCCAAAGACCTTGGCAGGACCAATCTCTCCGTACTGGATGCTGGAGAAGAAATAGGTATTGGCACCGGGGCACCTGAGCTTGTTCTTCTGGTGCAATTCACAAATGTCAGGAATATTGCTCATCTGCCAATTGGCGATAGTTAACGCAACAAACACACTGAGGAAAGTCAGAATAATCTGGCCACGGAAGATCGCTCTGGGCGGCACTTTCGTGTAGTGTGCCAACTTCTGATCTGTGATGTAGTTGGAAGCTTGCGAGTCGATGTTGTAACCGTATGCCTTGAGGGTAATAAGGGCAATACCAGAGTTTGGAATCGCATAACCAACAATGAGCTCAACCAACACGTTCAAGCCAAAGGCGAAACCAGTCACCGAGGCAATCGCTGTGATGGGAATAAGGAATATAAAGTTGATGCCGATGGTGAAAAAGATTCCCCACACAGGGGTCTCGACGGGATAGAATATAACACAAATCAACGCAAACGTGACACTCACAATCAAAATGGTCAAAAACCACCAACTGGGCACCTCCTTGTAGTGAGACATCATCAGACAATGTGGGTCATCAGCAAAGCGGTGGTAGTTTGAGTCCCGGTCCTTGTTGAATGAGTCCTTGACAGTGAACCAAATGTTGGCAAAACTCTGTTTCATGGACGTCCATTCGGTAACGGCATGGTACAAGATAGCGAAGGGGTATAAGCAGAAATAGGCTCCGTAAATGACCAAATTGGCGGCTGAGAAGTATGGCGGACCGTACTCCAAGTACTTGTCGTGATTGAAGGCCTTGTTTTCGTCAAGAATCTTCTTGACATCGTAGACCTCACCTGTGTTGCTGAACAAACGATTGGAGTTGATGGGGAAGTACGATGTCCACTTGTTGTTGGTGTAGTAGACCAATAAAATCGTGAGGAATCCAAGACTCAAACCGAGATACTGGTTGGCGTAGGTGTAGAAAGGAATGGTCAAGCACCCCGCCATGTCTATGATATTCCAGTCAAGAGTAGGAAGCGGATTGAGACCCAATCCTTGATTTGTACCTGTGACGTTGTTGAGGTGGATCAGGTTTGGCAGAAACCACGTAGGCCAATTGAAGGTGGAGAGGGCCTTGAATAAATAAGAGGGGATCCAGTTGTAGCAGAAACTGGCAATGAATGCAACAAAGAAAAACGAGTACCGTGATATCGTCCATCCGTTTATGTTGGTCTTTGGATCATCCTTCATAAGAGCTCTGTTTAAAGCGATTGTGGGCAAAAGCGTGGGCCACATGGCTTTCTTAGGGTACACACAAACCTTGAGCATAAGGAAAGCAAAGGCGAAGCCGAGAAACTGGGTTGACAATGCAAACATGACTTGGTATTCCCAGGTGACCCAGTCGAGTCCGTAGAAGCGATCAAGCTTCATGACGAAGAAGTTGTAAATGGCATACGGTGTTCCTGCTGAACACGAGTAGATGATCGTCGCAAGCATCATCTCCTTGTAGTTCCACGGCCCAGGGTTGAGATTGATCTCTTTCCCAAAAAATCTTATCTTTTTGTTCATTCCAAACGCCTTCTCCCAGAGCCTGCCGCTTGGTAAAAGTAGAAGCTGCACCGTGCTGGTCGAAAGAACGATACTGGGGAGTCTGTGCACAAAGAAGTTGTTGATCAAAGAGCCCATAAGCGTCCACGACAAGCCAATCACGTACACTCGTAGCGTCTCGACGGGAATAGACGGATCATCAAATGGATCCACTACAGCTCTGACCTCGGGATACGGCGAGTGGAAGGCCACCAAGCCCGCTTCAAGCCTCACTTCTAGCGCCCATTGGTCCGTTTTCGTTTCCTGGTCCGAGTCGCTATCTCTGCTTTTCTTGTCCACCAGGTCCAGCTGGTCTGACGGTAGCTGACTCAAAAGACGCTCTATCAAGTGGTAATCGGCCAGAGGGAAGTTCACATCGCCCCTGTGTTCTGCCAAGACGTCTCTCAAAATAACAACAGCATCCTCTATGGCCAAATTCTCGATTTTTTCTATCATGTAACGAGCCAGTCGGGGTAGTTCTTCGTAAGAGTCGAAGATAGACGGTAGACCCAAACGCAGCAAAATGGTGGCCACTTCGTCTTGCGTGAGGCTGGTTGTGAACTGCGGTTTTGTTTCATCGTTGGGGAGCTGCTGGAGCTCGATATACTCCGGAGGCATGGTGGAAGAAAACGGTAGTTGTTGGTTTTGATACTTCCCCAGATTTTTCGTGCGAGAGATATCCACCCCGATCGGGTAATAACATCGAATACAATGGACCGAGGCACGGCGAGAGGTTTATTTAATGGATTTTGGGGACGTTGTTTTGGAGGTGATTTGCTGGGGATTGGGTGAATTGGAGAGGTTCTGGTTAGTTTTTGGGTGTACTTATTTGTAGCACAGCCCCAATGACGGAAGATCGCCAGTCTGAGACATTCCCACCTGGTCCGCCAAGGCAGAGCGGACGGGAGGGTTTTGAAAACAGGAGGTTTTGATGAAAAAATAAAAGAAAAAAAAAAAACGTAATCTATGTGTGATGGTTGGCGACGTTGTGGTGTTCGAATTACATGAGCACTTCTCACCTCTTGAATAAGCACTTGAAAGGCCATGAGATATACTACAATTCAATGGCATTTAGCCAGTGGGGAATATTTGAATTCATAAAAATCGTTACTTATCGACAAAGAAAAAGTATGATTTCGAAAATCAATATCAGCCCAGGCAAACGAACCCTGACTCCCACCTTTTACACTACACTAAACGATCATGAAGCATACATTTCAAATGGCTGACTTGGTCCACCACTACACCTACTTCTTCTCCAAAATCTTGGCTACCTCAACAACAGTCTCATCGCTGTTACGAAGCCCCACAGCACAAAGTGCCACAGGTGCATTGGCAAAGCTCTCCGCAGAATCGTACTGCTTCCACACAAACTCATCCATCTCGTTTCTAGGTTTGTAGTCCTTGACTGGAGCATCGAGCTTGGGATCAACAGTAGTCACAGGGAAGACCATGCCAGGGTAGTCAAGAAGGTTCCATTGGGCCGTGTAGCCCCAATACCTCGATGTCCTGGGCTTACAGGCTGGACCAGGGAACACTGGTGCAATTACCGCATCGGGGGCTCCTTGGCTCAACCAGTGGGCAAGGTACTCCTTACGGTATTTGACTTTTTCAATGTTCCACAGCCAAATGCCCTTGGGCTCCAAAGGCTTGACGTGCTTGCCAGTGAGGATCCACTCTGTTTGAGGAAGCATGGGTTCACCCGAACGCTCCATGGTGGATCTTGTGTCGGCACCGCCGTCTTCAAAATAAAGCGAAGTGATGATTTCCCACGCCTTGTCGTGCTTGTACGGTTTGAAAGGAACAACCTCGACGTTGCTCATTTTAGAGAGCTGTTCTGCTACCATCTTCAAAGCACGAGCCACCGGAGGCTGTGGAGCTACCAAGCCGTCGTCATACAAAATTCCAATTTTAAGTTTCTCCTTCTTGGGCGCCTTCCATGGAAGAGGGTACAACGATGGGTCCACAAGCCAAGGAGACAGATCTGTGATGGTCTTCATGACAAGGTCCAAAAGCGCCAAGGAACGGGTCATGGGGCCAGTTACAGAAAGAATCGACTCCAGGCCGAGCTGACATGAAAAGTAGTCGCTGCTGGGGAGTCTGCCCACGGTGGATCTGAGACCGTAGATACCGTTAAAAGCACTAGGACAACGGATACTACCGCCAATGTCGGAACCCAAGCCAAAAGCGGCCGCTCCAATACCTTGAATGGCACCTTCTCCGCCTGTACTGCCACCACAGGTCAACAGCGAGTTGTACGGATTGACCGTTCTGCCGTGAGTCCAGGATTCACACTCGAGCATCATCAAAGACTGTGGATTGGTGGTACGAACGAACGGCACAGCGCCGGCGTTGATCAAAATATTCACAATATCGGCATTGTAGTCCACCACTCTGTCCAAGTAGCAGAGGGAGCCGTGGGTGACTGCCCTTCCTTTGAAAGGAATCATCTCCTTGAGCGAGAGAGGAAGACCGTACAAGGGTAAGTTTTTGTCGCCCAGATCGAGCTTTTTGGCCAATTCCATGGCCTCTTCGGGCAAAAACTCGTAGATGCAATTGACGAGTTTCGAGGCGAAAATAGCAGCATGGAAGTAGGCCGTCAACACCTGAACACAGGTGACCTTACCCAGTTTGAGGTCCTGAAGAAGCTCGTGGGGGTCCTTTTCCGTGATAGCAAGGGACGATTTTGGCATTTTCTCTCTGAAAACGTCAATGGGCACCTTTGCAGGTGAACCATAATCCTCAACGGTTTTCCCTCTAGCTGAGGGAAGCAGCTCAAACGCCTTGAGTGCCTCATCGTCAAGAGGGAACAACTGCAAGGTCTTTTTCAACGAATTGTCGTAAACGTCGGTGGCTCTTTTGGCCAAATCGTGCCAGGTCATGTTTGAGGAAGCGAAGAGGCGGCACGGCGTGTTTTATATACCCCGAGGCACGGCGGCACTTCCGTTATCGTTATCGCAGCATTGGGCCAGGCATTGTGCGATAAGCCGCCAAGATCTCGGAGTGGGGGCACAATTTCCAGGGTTCAGGGATCAAGGAGGCGATCGAGGAGGCGATACTGGGGTTTTGTGGGGAAGGAAATTTCCATGGTGTAGGAAAACCTGGAGTTATGGTTAGTAGGTGGAGGGGAGACATGGCGATGTTGCAGCCATTTTGTCGTGCGAGGCAGCGACATTGGGGACCAGGGGAGGTAGCGTCTGATAGATTGAAGGTCAATTGAGGTGATATTTTAATGTTTTTTTCAGAAATTTCGTTTTTCCCATCTAGGCTTCGAGGCTCGGCTCGGAGTATTAATGTGGGGCCGAGTGGGGCGGTAGGGGATAACCAATGGAGGTTTCGAGGTCACGGCACCTTTCGCGACGGAATTGGTGAGGGTGAGTGAGGATGAGGATGAGGACGTTTTGGTGGGTTTTGGGTCCCATTGAGGTGGAATTGCCGCCCCACAAACGGCTGCAAAAGGGGTTTTGGCCAGGCCAGGAGCGGGAGGTGATTTCCAGTGATTTGATTGGGGGAGGGGCGATTAGATGTTTGAGGTGGTTTGTTAGGTGGCTAGGCGGCTTGTAAGGTAGCTGTGGTGTAGGTGGTGTAGGTGGTGTAGGTTAAGGTGGTGTGGGATACGTAGGGTTGCAAAGCGTTTGAAGAGATGTCTCAATTGGGGAAGGGCAGTGTTTTACAATGTAAGCGGAGATCTAATTGAGGTAGAACGATTTTTAGATCAAGTGCCTATGGCTTTAAAGATCGGAGTCGAGCAGCTGTTACATATTGTTGGTGGGCACAGTGGGCACCATAAGCGTTGAGAACCAGGCATGTACTGAGACTAAACGAAGTAAGTCGGTACCAGGCCTAACAGTGTTTTTCTTCCAAGGCTCAATGAACTGGATTCTTGTTTTAAGTGACTTTCAGCTTCCTTTAAGACGGGTCTTTTCTCAGACGTCAATGGCCAGCTTTGACTAGGACTACTCACCAATGCGGTGTTGCAGCCTGGGTTACCCTCCAAGATAAGAGCATTCATTGCAGACCCAGCAAAAACGTAAAATCTGCTGTCTTCAGCGAAAATCATGAAAGAGAAAACATCAAACATCAATTAGCTTTGTCATTATTCATCGCAAACCTCCCTTACACGTTCCTCATCAGCACCTGGACCACTATGCGCTACCGGGTTTGCAGCCATTCTTCACCACCACGAGTCCACCAGAACCCACACAAACTCCATAAAAGCCAAAGAAAAAAAACATCTTCAACAATCAACACCTCCATCAACAAATCTCAAATCACAACTCTCAATAACATCCTCCCAATCTAAATCCACCCCCTCCCACCTAATACACCTCTGCTCATTCGCGAACTTCTTCCTCACTTCCTCCTCATCATGTCCAAGTTTCTTCCTCACACTCTAGGTCTCGGCACCGTGGGCGTGGCCTCTTTCTTCTGGGGCCGCCTGAGCCAGCCTACGCCTACGACCCAGGAACCGCCTTCCAAAACCAGCCCCAATTTGCCTGCTCCTGTTGGATCTCCAGCTCTTTCGCCAGTATCTGTGCAACCTGACGGTTTCTACAAATACGGCTTCCCCGGCCCGATCCACGACCTCCAGAAAAACAGCGAGTTCATCTCGTGCTACGACAGACTGACGAGAAACCCCTACTGGATCTTGGAGCACATCACCAAGGATTCGGTCAGAAGAGCAGACGGAGTCGACAGAAAGAAGCTGGTTTTCAAGGAGGACGAGAGCATACCGCTCAAGTTCCGTGCTCGTCTCCGAGACTACTTCCGTTCAGGCTACGACAGAGGCCACCAGGCGCCAGCGGCTGATGCTAAGTTTCTGCAGCAGGCCATGGACGAGACCTTCTTGCTCACCAACATGAGTCCTCAGGTCGGAGAGGGCTTCAACCGTGACTACTGGGCGCATTTTGAAGATTTCGTCAGGAGACTCACGGGCCGCTACGATAACGTCCGTGTCATGACGGGTCCATTGTACTTGCCCAAGAAGTGCAGCGATGACAAGTTCAGAGTGACATACGAGGTGATTGGCTCGCCACCAAACATCGCTGTTCCCACTCATTTTTTTAAGCTTGTGGTCGGAGAAGCCAATGGCAGTGATAAGATCTCTGTGGGTGCGTTCGTGTTGCCCAACGAGCCTATCGCCAATGAGCAGCCCTTGACGGCGTTCCAGGTGCCTGTGGAGGCGCTTGAGCGGAGCACGGGTCTTGAGTTGTTGCAAAGAGTGCCTTACTATAATAAGAAGGATCTTTGCAAGGAGGTGAAATGTGAGATTGTGGTGAGGGAGTTTCCCAAGCAGGTGAATAGCGTGTTGGGATTGCCCGGCAAGTAAGTCGAGCCGAACAAGAGGTAGTGGCCAATTGAATGGGCTACTGGCCAATCGAATCAATGGGTCTGATTTGAGTGATTTGGTCTGAGCCCAAATATGCATTATCACAGCCGAGACGGGCTATTCCAGTACATAGATAAGATATGCCCCACCGATGATTGAGGGTTTGACCATCAATGTGTAATCCAATAACTTGATATAAGTATAGAAAAAAAAAAAAAAAAAGAAAAAGAAAAAAAGCTTATCAAGGCAAGTGCTTTTAATTGCATTAGAACCACTCCAAACCAGACCACTTCTACATCCCAAAGCCGATAAGATCCTACCGTAAACGCAAAATGACGACAAGGCCACCGGACAAAAGGCACCCCTTACTTTATTTTAACTCCTGGAGATTCCCCAAAGTGCATGGCCATGAGGTCCCTATTTTGCAGCCACCACGAGCCTAGAACAGCCGACCCCACAAAACCCAAACCACCACCCCATTTACGAAATTAGCTTTTACCTAAATTTCCTGATTTTCCCAAATCTCCGTCCTATCGGTTTTTCATCGCTTCAGATCGGTTTCAGATGGAAAACAAAGCACAAAGAAAATCGCAACAATGAGCTGCCAGATAAGACCAAGGCCCGCCTTTGTTCGCCGCGATGGCTTTTTGGGTGCGGAACGGCCTCGCCCAAACGCGCCAATTTCCAGAGGCTGTGAGCCAACAAAGAGGAAAAAGCTGGAAATGGTTGGCGTTTTGGCGGGCGTGGGAATTTGAAGGTATGTTGCGAGGAAAAATTCTGGGAAATACTGAAAAAACAATAGGGGGATTTGAATAAACGTTTTTGTGTCTTTACGTCAGATCCAACGGTCTTCCCAACGCCTGCACGATGGGCAGGCATCCCCATCACTGATATGGATGTTGTAACGAAAAAATCATCTTTTTGAAGATATAATCATGATGTACAGAATCATAATCCTCTAATGTACCGCCACTTTGTTCGCTAGATGAATCTGGCTTTTCAAATCCTGGGGTGGGTCTGCTCCTCGGCTTGGGTGCAAATTCCTGCAGCCTGCAAAGACCCATTTCTTCCACCGTACCACCCACGGGCTCCTGACCCAAAATGGCTCTATTTTCTGGAGAAATCGCTACTTTGTCTTTCTTTGATTGTTGTAGAAGGTGAACTTTGCGTTTTGTAGCTGGTGACCACGTTGTTGCACTGAGAGATCCTTCGGAGTCGGACCTGCAAGATTGCCGCCGAGACCCCCTGCTAAACCACCACAAAAAGCTCCAATCGCCGGAAAAGTTACATGTATTACTGTCACTATCCTAATAAATGCTTTATGCTTTGGATCTGCTAAATTGGCCTCGCCTGCCTTAGTAAACCACACGGTAGTGGTTTCGGCGCTCGGAGCTAGCTGCAGCCCAACGTCCGTGGTGTACGGGTGTTTCCTCTTTTTGCCCGTCTATCACGTACAGCGCCCCAAGGAACAAAAGTTCCAGCGCATCTACGCGTCTCCCTAAGCTTACCTCTGCCTTCCAGCCCGTTGGCTGCAAGAACTCGACCCTTTTTATGAAACCGTCCTGCACACAAGCACACCACCTCTGCAAGTTCGCTCGGTAAGACTCCCAACAAACTAACCAACTATATGCGGGTTCTGCACAGACATTGTTGAGAGTTGCAAAAACCAAGGGACCCAAAATTTAGTCTCTGAAGCCATTCTTAAACAAAACGGATCCTCTTTTCTTCTTATCATCTCGCGTACCACCGAGAATATATATCCCATTTCCGAAAAAAGAGTCATCCACAAGCTAGAATGAGCACAACACACCGCCAGCTAGCCCTATCCCACGGGTCCATAGAACACACCATCTTGGTCCCCACAGAGCTCTTCTTCAAGTACTCCCAGTTGAAGGAGCAGTTTGTGAAGACTTTGCCCGTTCCAACAGAGGGTTTCGCTTCTGACGAAGAACCCGCTTCTCCTGCCGAGCTTTTTGCCAAGTTTGTCGGCTTCACCGCCTCTTTGGTGGACCCTGCTGTCGAAGGTGAGTTCAACGAGATCTTGACAGCCGTCTTGCTGGAATTCCAGTCCAGATTCTTCCCTAATTCCGATATCCACAGCTTTGCCGCCCAGTTGCTTGCTGACGAGACCTACCCCACCACAGCTGCCAAAACCAAGGAAGTCATCAAGCACTACTTCGATGCGGTCCTTTCTTCAAACACCACCATTCCAAGACAGCTGTCTGACTTGGTGCAAAGCTCTGCCCGCCGCTTGGCCAAGACCGTTGCCATTTTCGGTGGTCAGGGTAACACAGACGACTACTTTGAGGAGTTGAGAGAGCTCAATTACATGTACCACGGGCTTCTTGCCGAATTGCTCCAGAAAATTGCCTCCAAGTTGACTCTGTTGGTGAAATCCACCTCCAACGTCGACAAAATCTACACCCAGGGCTTTGACATCTTGAAGTGGTTGAAGCTGCCTGACCAGACACCCGACCAGGAGTACTTGTTGAGTGTACCTGTTTCGTGCCCATTGATCTGTGTGATCCAGTTGTGCCACTATGCTGTGACATGTAAGACATTGGGTATCACGCCTGGCGAGTTCAGAGACGCCTTGGTCGGTGCTACCGGTCACTCTCAAGGTTTGGTTACTGCCGTTGCCATTGCCAGTTCTGATGACTGGGAGTCTTTCACTGAAAACTCCATCAAGGCTGTTTCCTTGCTTTTCTTCATCGGTGCCAGATGTCTCATGACCTACCCTAGAACTTCCTTGCCTCCTACGATGTTGCAGGACTCCTTGGAGAACGGTGAAGGTAGACCATCTCCTATGTTGTCTGTGAGAGACTTGTCTCTTTCCGAAGTTGAGAACTTTATCAAACAGACCAACGCCCACTTGCCATCCGAGAAACACGTTGCCATCTCCTTGGTAAACGGTGGCAGAAATATGGTTGTTTCTGGTCCTCCAGAGTCGCTTTACGGTTTGAACTTGACCTTGAGAAACAACAAGGCTCCATCTGGTTTGGACCAGGCCCGTGTGCCATTTTCCGACCGTAAGATGAAGTTTTCCAACCGTTTCTTGCCCATCTTTGCTCCTTTCCACTCCCACCTTCTTGAGCCAGCTACCGATATGATTTTGGCTGATGTGCAAAACGATGGCTTGGAGTTCTCTGCTTCTGACCTCAAGATCCCCGTCTACGATACCTACTCTGGTGAGAACTTCCAGGACTCCAAGGGCGATGTTGTCGACAGACTCACCAAGTGCATTACCGAGTTGCCTGTCCACTGGGAAACCGCTACCAACTTCGACAGCACCCACTTGTTGGATTTCGGCCCTGGAGGCGTTTCCGGTTTGGGTGTTTTGACCCACAGAAATAAGGAAGGTACGGGAGCCCGTGTGATTATTTCTGGTGCCATTGACACCAACCAGGACGATGAGTACGGTTTCAAACAGGAGATTTTCAACAGAACCCAGAGCTCCATCAAATGGGCTCCCAACTGGTTGGACGAGTACAGACCTAAATTGGTGAAAACCAAGGCCGGCAAGGTTTTCGTCGACACCAAGTTTTCCAGACTTCTTGGAAGAGCTCCATTGATGGTGCCTGGTATGACTCCTACCACCGTCAACACCGACATTGTTTCCGCTACCATCAACGCCGGTTACCACATTGAATTGGCTGGAGGTGGCTACTTCGAGCCAAGAGGCATGGAAAGAGCTTTGAGAGAAATCGCCAGCAGAGTTACCCCAGGTTCCGGTATCGGTATCAACTTGATCTACGTCAACCCTAGAATGTTGCAGTGGGGTATTCCCTTGATCAAGGAATTGAGAGCAAAGGGTTTCCCTATCCAGTCCTTGACCATTGGTGCCGGTGTTCCTTCCTTGGAGGTTGCCACAGAGTACATTGAGGAATTGGGCTTGACCCACTTGGGCTTGAAGCCAGGTTCCATTGATTCCATCAACCAGACCATCGCTATTGCCAAGGCCCACCCTAACTTCCCTATTGTGCTTCAGTGGACCGGTGGTAGAGGTGGTGGTCACCACTCTTACGAGGACTTCCACCAGCCTGTTTTGCAGATGTACGCTAAGATCAGAAAGTGCTCCAACATCGTTTTGGTTGCCGGCTCTGGTTTTGGTTCTGACGAAGAGACTTACCCATACTTGACTGGTTCTTGGTCCAACGAGTTCAACTACCCACCAATGCCATTTGACGGTGTCTTGTTCGGTTCTAGAGTCATGACTGCTAAGGAAGCACACACCTCTTTGGCTGCCAAGCAGGCCATTGCTGAATGTACCGGTATTGCTGACGGCAAGTGGGAAAGCACTTACAAGAAGCCCACTGGAGGTATCATCACTGTCAGGTCCGAGATGGGTGAGCCTATCCACAAGCTCGCTACTAGAGGTGTGATGCTCTGGAAGGAGTTGGACGAGACCATTTTCAACTTGCCCAAGAACAAGCTTTCTGAGGCCTTGACCAAGAAGAAGGACTACATCATTGGCAGATTGAACAAGGACTTCCAGAAGCCCTGGTTCGGCCGTAACGCCCAGGGCGTTTGTGACTTGGAGGACATGACTTACCAGGAAGTTGCCAACAGAATGATCGAGTTGATGTTCGTGAAGAAGTCCGAGCGCTGGATCGACGTTTCCTTGAGAAACTTCATGGGTGACTACCTCAGAAGAGTCGAGGAGAGATTCACCTCTGCTTCCGAGAAGCAGTCCTTGATCCAGAACTTTGGCCAGTTGGAGAAGACCCCTCAAGCTTTCGTGGACAAGTTCTTCGACTCCTTCTCTTTGGCCAAGACCCAGTTGATCTCTGAGGAGGACTGTGACTACTTCTTGATGTTGTGTGCCAGAGCCGCCCAGAAGCCTGCTCCATTTGTGCCTGTTTTGGACGAGAGATTTGAGTTTTTCTTCAAGAAGGACTCTCTTTGGCAGTCGGAGGACCTCGAGTCTGTTGTCGACGAGGATGTCCAGAGAACCTGTATTCTTCACGGTCCAGTTGCTGCTCAGTTCACCAACAAGGTTGACGAGCCAATCAAGGATATTTTGGATGGCATTCACGAGGGTCACATCAACAGATTGGTCAAGGACGACTACGAAGGTGACTTTTCCAAGATTCCTGTTGTCGAGTACTTTGGTGGCCAGGCTCCAGCTGTTCCTGAATCCGTTTCTGGTGTGACCATCGAGAAGTCTGGTGACAAGACCACTTACAAGATTGGCTCTTCTGTTCCAGACCAGTCTGAATGGCTCAAGTTGTTGGCTGGCTCTCAATTGAGCTGGTTGTACGCTTTCATCAGCTCTGAGAGAGTTGTCCAGGGAATCAACCATGTTGCCAACTCTGTCAAGGACATTTTGGGACCTGCTTCCAACACCGAGGTGGTGATCTCCAACGCTGGTTCTGAAAAAGCCAACCTTTCTGTTTTCGAGGCCGTCGAGGGTGACGCTAAGAAGGTTGCTGAGATCAAGTTGAACTCTGAGGGCTTGATCCAGATGTCTTTGATCGAACACAGAACTGCCGACAACAAGCCTGTCGAATTGCCTTTCCTTTACAAGTACGTTCCAGAGGACGGCTTTGCTCCAATCTCTGAGGTGATGGAGGGCAGAAACGACAGAATCAAGGCTTTCTACTGGAAGTTGTGGTTCGGTTCCGATGTTCCTGTTGATTTGGATATCAACGTGGACCAAGTCATTCCAGGTGACAAGGTTACCATCAGTGGTAAGGATATTTCCGAGTTTACCCACGCCATTGGTAACACCTGTGATGCCTTCATTCCTAGACCAAACAAGCCTACCTTGGCTCCTATGGATTTCGCCATTGTGGTCGGCTGGAAGGCTATCATGAAGGCCATTTTCCCAAAGACTGTGGATGGTGACTTGTTGAAATTGGTGCACATGTCCAACGGCTACCGTATGATTCCTGGTGCCGAGCCATTGAAGAAGGACGATGTTGTTTCTTCTGATGCTCTCATCAAGGCCGTTTTGAACCAGCCTTCTGGTAAAATGGTCGAAGTCGTGGGCACCATCACCAGAGAGGGCCGTCCTGTCATGGAGGTCACCTCCCAATTCTTGTACCGTGGTGAGTACGAGGACTTCGAGAACACTTTCCAAAAGGTCACCGAGGACCCATTCCAGATTGCCTTCAAGTCTGCCAAGGATTTGGCTATTTTGAGATCCAAGGAATGGTTCCACTTGGAGAAGGACGTGGAGTTGCTTAACCAGATCTTGACTTTCAGATGTGAATCTACTTACAAGTTCAAGGCCGCTGGTATTTACTCCTCTATCAAGACCGTCGGTGGTGTTTTCTTGGAGTTGCCTACCAAGGAGGTTATCCAGGTTGGTTCCATCGACTACGAGGCTGGTGTCTCTTTCGGTAACCCAGTGATTGACTACTTTTCCAGAAACGGTAACACCATTGAGCAGGCTGTGAAGTTCGAGAATGCTATCCCACTTTCTTCTGGTGAGGAGTTGACCTCCAAGGCTCCCTCTACCAACGAGCCTTACGCTAAGGTTTCTGGCGATTACAACCCTATTCACGTTTCTCGTGTTTTCGCTTCTTACGCCAAGTTGCCAGGCACCATCACCCACGGTATGTACTCTTCCGGATCGATCAGATCTTTGGTTGAGCAGTGGGCTGCCAACAGTGTCGCTTCCAGAGTCAGAGCTTTCAAGGCTGATTTCGTCGGCATGGTATTGCCAAACGACATTCTTCAGACTTCCTTGGAGCACATTGGTATGATCAACGGTCGTAAGATCATCAAGGTTGAGACCAGAAACGTTGAAACCGACACTCCAGTGTTGATGGGTGAGGCTGAGATTGAGCAGCCTGTCACCACCTATGTCTTCACTGGTCAGGGTTCTCAGGAACAAGGTATGGGTATGGACTTGTACAACTCTTCTGAGGTTGCTCGTGAGGTTTGGGACCGTGCTGACCGTCACTTTGTTGACAACTACGGTTTCTCCATTCTCGACATTGTGAAGAACAACCCTAACGAGTTGACCGTTCACTTTGGCGGTGCAAAGGGTAGAAAGATCAGAGACAACTACATCTCCATGATGTTCGAGACGATTGGTGAGGACGGTGAGATCAAGTCGGAGAAGATTTTCAAGGAAATCGACCACACCACCACTTCTTACACTTTCCTTTCGCCAACTGGTTTGTTGTCCTCCACCCAGTTCACCCAGCCTGCTTTGACCTTGATGGAGAAGGCTTCCTACGAGGACATCAAATCCAAGGGTTTGGTGCCATCGGACGTTATGTTTGCCGGTCACTCGCTCGGTGAATATTCTGCCCTTTCTTCCTTGGCCAATGTCATGCCAATTGAGTCTCTTGTGGATGTCGTTTTCTACAGAGGTATGACCATGCAAGTCGCTGTCCCTAGAGACGAATTGGGAAGATCCAACTACGGTATGTGTGCTGTCAACCCAACCAGAGTCAGTCCTACTTTCAACGATGCTGCCTTGAGATTCGTTGTTGATGAGGTTGGTGCTAAGACCGGCTGGTTGTTGGAGATTGTGAACTACAACGTCGAAAACACCCAGTACGTTACTGCCGGTGACTTGAGAGCTTTGGACACCTTGACCAACGTCTTGAACGTGATCAAGTTGAACAAGATCGACATTGTGAAGTTGCAGGAGCAAATGTCCTTGGAGGATGTCAAGGGCCACTTGAAGGAGATCATCGACGAGGTTTCCGCCCAATCGCTTGCCAAGCCTCAGCCAATTGATTTGCAGAGAGGTTTCGCTGTGATCCCATTGAAGGGTATTTCCGTGCCTTTCCACTCGTCTTACTTGATGTCTGGTGTGAAGCCATTCCAGAGATTCTTGTGCAAGAAGATTCCAAAATCTTCTGTCAAGCCAAACGACTTGATCAACAAGTACATTCCAAACTTGACTGCTAAGCCTTTCGAGATTACCAAGGAGTACTTCGAGGAGGTTTACCAGTTGACCAAGTCTGAGAAGCTTAAGAGCATCATCGACAACTGGGAGTCGTATGAGAAGGCTTAAGCTTACAACTTTGATTTAATTTGATATATATATTTGGGCTCTTGGGCTTTCTAAAATGGAGCAGCACGTGGTACTGCTGTATCTGTTTCTGTCGGAAAGCATATAGGATAAATAAACTTAGTATAGAGGATACTTGTGTAGCATTACTCTCCAGTGAAGAGAGGACTCGAGATGTTCACAGGAGTGAACTGCTTTGGCAACGACACTCTCGAGAATCTAGACTTCAATCTTTGAATCACCAAGTCCATATCCAAATGTCTCGTTAAGCCGATCTTTGGAATACAACCAATGTAGTGATCGTCATCCAAATGAACGTCCAAAGGATCCTGAGTGTGACATCCTGGAGACAACGACATTCTGATAGAATGCTTCTTGCCTGAGGGGCTGTTGGAGTCACCGGACTCGTATATCTCAAAGACAATCTGAGACATGTAGTCAAGTTCAGGTAAGGCGTTTCTGGCGATCTTCATTGGAAGTTGCGCTCCGTAAATGACATTGAGCAAAGTGTATATGTGGGACTCCTTTGTGAAGTAGTTCACCACCGCTGCAGAGTCATGGCTCTTCATGTCTTTGATGTCCGACAAGATCTGCTTGGCCAATGGCAAAGACGTTAACAAACCAATATCAAGCTTCTCTTCGTCCTTAATACCGTATTCCTGAGGACAGATGAAATCGAACAACACCTTGGATAATCTGTACAATTCTCTGAGACGAGCAAAAGTTGGGTGGTCGAATGGGTTCTCTGGGGCTTTTCCATTGCTGCTTACGCTGCTGTTGCAGCTGGATTTGCCGTGAGTGTTTGTGTCGTTGATCAGACTTGCGCCCTTGGTTGCATTGGCACCCTTCAAGACCCAACCAAGAGAACCTGCTGAGGCTTCCTTATTGTTTGTGATGTTCTGAAGGTTCGATGTAGATCCGGATGCGGAGCTGACATTCGAATTGGCTTCATGTGGAATCTTGAAGTTATTCATGGCCAAAATATTGATGGGGTATTCACTCACAAGACCAGATGACTTGATGGTGTCACCACACCTCTCACCCAAAGTCTTGAGCAAGTTCTCGTCATTAGGATCAAATGCAAAGATCTTTTCCAAGAATTGACGATTGTGCAAGGCATCGTACTTCATGGTATCGTACAACTCGGAAATCTTCGATGGGTGAGTCTTCTCCACTGTAATGAACTCTTGGAACAACTTATCCCACCTCTCCTTGAACAAGTATGGGTCTTCTCCGCAGCACCAATTCTCCTGGAATTTGCTGACATCGTAGTTCTTGAAGTTATACTCCATAATGTTCTTGTGGTAGTTCATCAACTCGCAGACTCTCTTGATAACGACGAAAGGCTGGGGCATCTTGGGTGGCCATGTGAACTGTGGAGGCGCTTCAGCACCCTGTCTCAACAAGGGCTTCAACTTCTTTTTGACTTTATCCATCAAGTCCTTGGCAGCGTTAGAGTCGTCCAAAAGGTCCTTTCTGATAATCAAGAAATCATCAGGCAAAGTTGGCAATCCTAACATTGAGCTGGTTGCAAGATGGGCGCTTGCAATGACTCTTCTCTCGGAAGATGTGTAAACCTTGACGTCGTTGAGTGCTTCCCTGTTGAGCAACTTAATGTATTGTCTCAATTGTTCACCAACATCAGTGGCTTGGAACCTGGCCGAGTGAGTTGGCTCACCACCCCATTTCAAGATGAATTGCACCTTCTCGACTATGTCTGGGTTTTCAGAGTTCAAGGAAGGCTTCAATTGGATCTTGGTACCGGGGAACTCCATCTTCTTCTCCAATGCCATTCTCAACTGTTTAAGCTTCTTCAAGTCCTCGAGTTCCTTTTCTTCGGCTATCTTGACAGTCTCCAACACAACTTGCAAATCAGGCACAGCTCTGATGATGACTTCCTCTTTGTGACCTTTAAGCAAGGAGATGAATAAAGGTGATCTGAAAGAGTACTTGAACTTCTGTTTCGGCGTTCTGTCGGCGTGTCTAATGACAGAAACCATACCCTTGAAAACCCATTTCTGCTGTTTCTCCTCAAACTCAGACTGGTTGATCTGGCTAGTGCGAGGGATCTTGTTCTTGATAAAGTCTCTGGACTTCTTGGCCTCGATGAACATGTTTCTCAAGATCGAGGCACAAGAGTCGTAGTATTCGTTATTGTCTTTGACAAACGAGAATCCATTGACATCAATGACGTAGGACTCGCCATTGACACGCAACAAATCGAATCCACAAATCGTTTGCTTGAACACTCTGCTCACATTTCTTGCCATGGTCTTTTCATGGTCGCTCAACTCGGTCACGAAACGAATCTCTTTACCGTGGGTATTACGTCTGACAATACCATCAACGACAGGCGATTTTCTCGTTTCAGCGTGGCAGAATTCCTGACCCACAGTGTATGCCTTCACATCCTCGAAGTTGTCGGTATCCATGAATTTCTCATAGATAAACGAACCCTCCGTACGTGGGGTGCTCAACTCTGGATCAAACTCAGACGACTTGTTTCCGATCTTTCTGAAAAGACGACGTCCTCCACCGCCGGTACTCTTGGGGTAGTAGATGTAAACATTGTGGTCTTCACCGTCCACGGGCTTCTCCACATAAGGCTTCTTCATGGTCTTTCCGTTCACCACAAGTGTGTCTTCGTCAGGCATAGACCATTCGGGCTCGTCCTGGTGGGTCAATCTGTGCAAATGGTCACGAGGAATGCCCACCTCCACAAGCTTGTCTTCTAAAAGCTTGTCGATGCGTGGTCCGCCGTCTCTGCTGATTTCTAGTCTTTCAGGCGTTGCGACATTGGCGTGGTTCAAGATGTTCAACACCAAACGCCTATCCCACAAGGTTTTCTGCAACGTCAAGTCGTTGATGATGTAGGGCTTTCTGAGGTTGGCGTAGCTGATGGCCTTATCAAGCGGGAAGCCCGTGGAGAAGAAACTGATGAGGAAGTCACAGGTGGGCCAGTTTTCCACAGCCTCATCCAAGATGACCTTGTCGCCGAAAACGATGGTATCAAACTCGCCGTTCTCAATAAGTCTGTTCAAGATCTTTCTGCAAGGCTTCAGCATGACCTTGGAGTCCATGGCACACACGCCAATCTTGCCAATTTTGTTCACGTTGGGTGGAGTAGCGTTAGCGTTTGAAGCGGATCTTCTCAGCGTGTTCGACAGGTTCAGCACCGTCTTGTTGAGCTTTGGCAAGTTCAAGTCCCAGGACGACGCAGAGTTTGTTCTGGAGTACGGTTTGGAACTTTCACCTGGAGCTGCATTCACAGAGTCTCCATGGTCAGGCAGAAGCTGAGCAATAGCGTTGTTCAACGACAAATTGTCTGAAGTAAGCGAAACAGATTCACCAATAGCCGCCAACGACGTTCTTCTAGGCGAAGTCAGCGCCGTGGCCATCTGACTAGCAACCCCATCTTTGGACTCTTCAGCACTGGTCTTTGGGGTGAAACCTTCCAACATGGGAGCGATCAGAGCCATGGCTTTTTCCGTAACCTCCTTCCCGTCGCCCGAGCTGAGCAGAAGCGGCAGCATCGACTGGTTTTTCCCGTCCCCGTGCTTGGGGATTGGAATCAGTTGGGAGGTATCCATTTTGATGAAGAAGATCTGGGTGAAGATTGAGACTTATCTGGGGTTCGTGCAGGGTGCCCGCCTGGTCAGGCCGATAGAGTGGAATTTGGTTATTTTGGTGGGAGGGTTTGCTGAGTTAATGAAAATGACTTGGATGAGAGGATTTCGGAAAATTTGGTATTTTTTGGGAATTACGGTAGGGGAACCTGGGGTGCTTATCTATGGAAGGCTGGTCTAGGTGCAGTTTGCAGCCACGAGGTGGGCATCACAAATTGGCTCATACTGTGGATTATGAACGCAGGTCGGGTTTTAGAGTTTCATCGATTTTGCTGTGTGTGGATTATTTGTTAATTTAGTAAAATCTTTTGACTGGGGGAAATTTCGTCGTTTATTGAATAGAATCAACGGGCCATCGCACAGACTGAAATATCGCCTGATTGTCATCGCTTGAAACATATAATGTCCTATACGATGCACTTTTTCAAAATCCCTGAAACTCTGTTTTACAGATTAAGGCTTCTTCAACCTATAAGGCAGCCTCCCACTAATTTATCTGGTTTATAAATATTCTTTTGAGTGGATATTTTTGGTGACTTTACACCGTGCTATTAAGCTAACTGTACCTGGCCTGGCGACCATCGTCAAATGCAATTCTCTACTCAATGGCAGCTAACGAGTCGAACAACACAGAGATCGACTCGCCAAAGTGGTCTCTTCTGATGCACTCGGCGAAAATCGGCGAAACATCAATCACCACCAACTTCTCGTTCGCCTTCTGTCTCTCCTCGCTCACTCTATACGTGTTGGTGACCACAATCTTGTCGATACACTTGGAGTCGTTCAACTCTTCAAGACAGCTATCACTGAACAAACCGTGGGTACCCACGACGTAGACGGCTCTGGCGCCACAGTTCAAACGCAAGTGCTCGGCAGCGGCAATAAACGAGTTGGGCTTGTCAATCATGTCATCCAAGATGATAGCCACCTTGTTGTTGACGTCTCCCACAAGAGTGATCAACTTTTCCTGAGCAATGGCAGTGGGCTCGTCTTCATCGTCAGAATTCGTAGCATCAAAGGTACCGCCCAAGGCATCGCTATTCAGAATCGCGGCTGGCTTCTCAGCAACAGGACCGTTATCTTGCTCGTAGTCATCATCCACAACATGACCCTTGACGACTCTGGCGGTCTGCATTTCACTGACAATGTTGTCTTCCTGCGAATGGGCCAAATGTCTCTTGGTCTTGCTGAAGTTGTCCTGGGTACGGCGTCTATCCGTGTGGATCATGGCAAAGTTGATTTTGAGAGAGTCAGCCAAAGCAGTGACTCTTTTCGTGCCACCAGGATTCTTGGACACAACCACAGCGTTCTCCCAGTCAGGGATGTTGTGGCGGATCCAGCGGGCTAACGTAGGAGCACCGTACAAGTTGTCGACTGGTTTGGTGAAGAAGCCTTGCATCTGAGAAGCGTGCAAGTCCATCAGAACCACATGGTCAGCACCAGCCATAATGATGAGGTTGGCCAACATTCTGGCGGTGATGGCACCACGGTGCTTCTTCATCTTCAGCTGCTTCGAGTAAGGGAATTGAGGAATCACGGCAGTGATCTTCAGGGCAGAACCACCACGGCAGGCTGAAATTAAGATCAAAAGCTCCATGATATGGTCGTTAATCTGAGGAGAGCCACTCTGGATGATGTAGACATCCTCGTCTCTCACGGAAACACCGATTTGCACGGAAGTCTCACCGTTGGAAAACTTCTTCAAAGTGCATGGAGCAGGTTCGACACCCAAACGGTCACAAACGAGTTTGCCCAATTCTGGGTGGGACAGACCGACAAACACTTTACACTTCCGCATGATGCTATTGGACAGGGCTAACGTGGGGGGTACGAATGGCGACGACAACGTGGACTAGGGGGGCACAAGTCGCTCTATACAGGTGGTGTGAATGCCCAAACTGAGCTGCTGTGGAGGAAACCTTCAGGACTGGTTGCTGGATATTGGCGATGGGGTACTGATAGTGGTATCGCACTAAAATTTTCGGTGCAGGCCGTTGAGCTGGTGAGTCCAGGTTGGGGGTATGGGGAGGGGTGTACTTTATTTAAAAGAGACGGAATATGAAGAAGAAGAGGGAGTTTGAAAAGGTGGCCAAATTTCAGGGTAATTGGCCGTTTGGGTGGGTCCTTGGAGGACAGCTCATCGGACGCACGTGAGCGTGTCCACGTGGACACCGGTTTCCCCCGGGTTCAGCACCATGTCAACAAACGGCTGGTTTTGGGGAAGATGAATAAAATATGTTAGCTCTAATTAGCTAGTAGGACCGTCTTGAAACATTCTGTTGTTTGTCGTTTTGCATCGCGTTAGGATGGCTGCGAAATGTGGGCCATTCCAGAATAGCCTGTTGTGCTTCACGAGTGCCTGAAGTTGACGAACAATCCGCGGAAGCTCCGTGGCCGTCAATTGTAGTCTTCTAGCTGAAATTATGGAATTAACTTTTCAATTGAGGTGTTTTGGTTGTCGGTTTTGCCGTCGTAGTGTGGTTCAGTGCTAGTGTCTTGTTTTTGAAAACTAGCTTAATTGTCAGTACGTCTAGTGAATCACTTATGAAATGAAATCGAACCAAAACGGCTCTCCATAAGTAGAAAGTTCTTGCTTCTTTGTTCACTGGGAGCCTGTCAATGCAAGACGTCTGCAGGAAAGAAGGATTTTGCAACCATTACAAGAGTCCCAAGCCTGCTTTAAAAGCTTCTGATGAAATAGCCTACTTGTTTTTTTGTGCCTTTTTTGCATAAACAAGCTATGTTTGAGAATCTAAATTCCCATTAACAGCAAAAATGGTGCAATAGCTCTTCATGCGAAATAAGCGATACCATATGCTAAGTCATTCACCACAGTCACAATCTCAAAAATATAATAAACATAACCCAATTTCTATAAACCTTCATCTTTTCAAGCCTGCTTCGTCAATTAATAGCCAATTGCATCAAAATCTTGCACCTCTTCACCTACTCCACGTGAGCGCATCAACACTTCCAAACTACACCCTCGCAGTACCTCATGGCTGATCATGGTACCCCACTCAATACAAAACTTGAAGGCCGAAAAGCCACTATAAATGACTCCGGCGTTTTCAAGAAGACAGTTGATCTCCTAATTCCAGTCAATTTCACGAGATTGCGCTGCTTGGCTCTTGGATCGCCTACTGCAGAGTTTCAAGCTCTCTACCAGTTAGCTTTCTTGATTCTATTAGTCGAGAAGTTCGATATCAAAGACGTTTCGTGCTGGGATCCTGCCTTTACTGAAGATGAAAAAAAGCTATTGGAGAGCTTGAACTTCTCCGTTGAAGAGAAGGAAGAACCTCAGAGCGCTGTGGTAGCTAAAACGCTATACTACATGCCCCATGCTCCCAGAACATTCACTAATGATTTTATAAAGAGCATAGAGCCACGCTGGATTTTGGGAAATGACCTTACTGTCACAGCGGGAACACTCGGTAAAGCTAAGTTTCTTGAAACACTACCGACTCTAGCGACCATCGTACACATGACTGAGGACCAAGTTCCCAAAAAAGATGACGGTTTCAGCACGGTGAGCCGAAGAAAGAAGAAAAATCAAAAATTCGTCTACAAAGAGCCCGAGCTCGAGTACCCAATCAGGGATATGTACTTTGACCAAGTGCAAATCACTAGAATCGATGGAGACTCCAGTCAACCATGGAAGGACCTGTTTAGCGACATGGCCTTGAACGTATTCAAGCTAAAGGAAGTGGAATCAGCTCTCGAAGAGCTCTCCATAAGTAAGTAACTGTAGGCTACGACAAACGACGCATAATTAATAGCATTAAAGTATATCACAAGAATAGAAAAGGGCAAGGCTAGTGTTTCCTTTGCTTTTTCGGCGGCTGTTCAACAGCTTCCATGGAGTCCATCATAGGCTGGCCCATCTGCTCAGGAATGTTTTGCTGTGGCATCTGCTGGCCCATGTTCACAGACAGGTCCATGCCTAGCAGCTGGTCCATCGCCGGGGTGGCACCGTCCAACGGTAGCGTACGCATTTCTGTACTGTTGTTTTCGTACTCTGCTGCCTTGGACGCTGACATCAAGTGTTTTGTCAAGATAGCATACAAATCGTCTTTGGAGAAGGGCTTGGCCAAAATGTCCGACATGCCGTTTTGCAAGTAATTGACCAAATCTGCGTCCTGGATGTTGGCGGTCATGGCGATGATCGGGGTTCTCGTGTCGAACGAACGGATGATGTTGGTAGCTGTGGCGCCATCAAGATTGGGCATCACAATGTCCATGAGCACAAGATCGTACTTGGTCTGTTCCACCGTGGAGATGGCATTGAGGCCGTCCGTCACCACCGTCACCTGGCACCCGTACTTCATCAAGAACTTGCGGCACAACTGAATACAAACGTTGTCGTCCTCGACCAAAAGCACGTGGAACTTCGGATTGGGGATGGTCGCTGTGGAAACAGGACCCACAATGTCTCCTCCCAAGGGCAGCGTGGAAGAAGGATGTCTAGTGTGGCTCACGTGGTTGAGGCTGGGGTGGCTGGAATGAGAGCCTCTGTTGCTCTGGCCCCGAACCAGCGAGTTGTAGTCGTACTCAGGCACCGAGCCGGAACCCGATCGCAGATGTCCTGGTTCCTGTTTCACCACTGTTCGCTCCGGTTGTTGCGGCGAAGGCTGGCCCGGCAGCAAGTTCAAGGCACTTGGGTTGGGGAGGTCCAAGGGAGGCAATTTTATCCCGGCCTCGCCCAAAGCGTTGATCAACATGCCCATCAGACGGGCCTGGCGCTCATTGAATGTTCTTAGCGTGACGACATTGTCCAAAAGAGCCGAGTATTTCTTGGTCATGCCCTTGAGTTCTTCACGGGCCTGGGCCAACTCCAGTCTTATCAGGCCAATCTGCTGGTCGTAGTGTGGGTTGGCCTCGTAGGCGGGTTCCTTCTTGGTGGGGGCTTTTCTTCTGATGTTCTCCAAAGCGTTCGGGTCGTCCTTGCGGAACTCGGGGTGCTG